AAAGCAGAGGCTCTGTTCTTTCTTTTGACATATTGCATGTTCAGATATTCATACAACAAAATATTTTGGGGACCATATGATCAAAAATGTTGGTGGTGGCTGGCAACTTTTTTTATTTATTTTTTTTACTTAGTCTTGAGATTATTTTAAAAATGATAAAAATGACCTACAAAGAACCTTTTGTAAAATGGAACTCTTAAAAATAAAGGTCCCAAAAGGGTGTTTTGGGTGTTTTTGTAGAAGAACCATTTTTGGTTTCCCAAAGAACCTTTCAGTGAATAATTCTTAAAAGAACCAATTTTTCTTAGTGTAAAGAACATTTTAATAATCTAAAGGACCTTTTCCCACTATAAAGAACCTTTCATCCAGTGGAAATGTTCCATGGATGTTAAAGGTTCTTCATGGAACCTTCGATGCCAGTAAAGAATCTTTATTTTTAAGAGTGTGAGAAATGCTAAATATTATTCTTCATTGCAGCAACTGATCTATGAACAAGTGCATCTCTTGTTCTCTGAGTCTATCAGGAGGTGCTTTGGTTTAGTTAACCCCGAATTCCGTTCCCACACCAATTCCCATCTCCCGCCAAAATTGACTGGTAAAGCCTCAATACTTTCCATCCCGCTCTGCAAAAGGGTCTTTGAATATGGGCGCCCCCTTGTCCAACACTCTTCTCATTCTCACAAACACACACACACACACACACACACACAGCGAGGGAAGCAGATGCTCAGCGCTGTGTGCCCAGTGTGAAGTGTCCCTCTCTTCATAAAAACGGGGAGCTGGGAAGCCCCTGACCTCTCCTCGCCGGACAGGAATTCGGGTCTTGATGTGAGAGGAGCTCAATGACATTCCAGCATCACATGCTCTGGCATTCACAGCACAGACGCATGAAAAGAGGCAGTTAGAGTGCGAAACTGTGACATTGTCTGATACCTTCTGCCCCATTGAAACCCCTTGAGTCTTGCCAGGGTGTTTGTGGTCATTAAAACTTAAAAAAGAGGGAAAAACAGGAAAGCAGCCCTTTTTTTTCCTGTCAAAAAACAATTGTTGAATTGTGGTCTCTTCTTCAAAAGCAAGACACTGTTCAAATTATTTATTTTTAATAAATGAAATATATAAACAGTTTTTAATAATTTAACCCTTTTTAATAAATACAAATATTTTATAAAAATATGTATTATTATTTTAAATATTTATTAAAATGTTCAATGTATTAAAACTATTACAAACATGTATATGTATTAAAAAATAATTAATTTGAACTTTTGAAACAGTTTTTAATCAATAAAAATATTCAGTAAATGAAACTGAAAAAATGTAATCTTAATAAATATTTGAATAGTTATTAAAAATGTTTAATATATTAAAAACTATTCAAATAAAAAAATCATGTACATTAAAAAAATATTTATTTGAATTTTTTCATTTATTTAATGAATAAAAATCAATAAATAAAATATTTATTATTAT